TTGATCCTTGTAAGTTGCAAGAGTATGATATGTTTGGTTACACGCGAGCTTAGCCCTTCCTTAATTATTTTTTCATTGCGATCTTTCATATACATTTTTATAAATTTTCATATTAAATATAAACTAGTCTTTTTGGCAAACAAATGAAAATAATTGAAGGGAATATGTATGTCATTATCACTAGCTTAGTCGATGATTGGCATACCAATGAAATCAGCGATCGTACATACAAATACATATATGGTATCCATATTGTATTGTCCTGTAGATGTGTTTTTCATATTCTACTTTAAACTAGCGTATAGTCTGTGAGTTCTCCATTTTATTTAAAATTATGTAAAAATTAATAAAAATGAGCTTATAAACAGATTACAACTTCACACCATTAGTACAGTGATGAAAAATTATTATGGTTGTAGCCCCTCCACTGTTTTTGTTATGGCAAAAAATACTACATAGGGCGTAATTAAGGTCGACATAATATTGTTTCCAAATATACAATAAATGATTTCACATAGTTTCCTAATAAAATACCAGTCTAAATGCAGATTTTAACTTTTGAAAGGATCCTTGGTTGACTAACCACCAATTTTGTACTACAAGTATTTTGTTCATTTTTAAGAACATTAAATGTTTGCTTTAAGGGTTTTTCTTTGAAGTTTCCTTTTATACTCTTGCACATGTTGCTACAGAGTACAAGTATAATAGTTTTGATTACCTAACGGTTGTTTGTATCACCTAAAACTAATAGAGTTAGACATAAATGATCAGAATGACGAAACGAGTTGAAATCCGGATGTCTGTCTGTCCGTCCGTCTCTGCACGCTGTAACTTGAATAAAAGATGAGATATATTGATGAAGCTTGGTACACATGTTTCCCGGCACCGTAAGACGGTTGGTATTGTAGATGGGCGTAATCGGACCATTGTCACGCTCACAAAACGCCATTAATAAAAAACAAATAAATTGTCATAACTAAGCTCCACAATAAGATACAAAGTTGTTATTTGGTATAACGAATCGCATTAGGGAAGGGCATCTGCATTAAAAAAATTTTTTTTAAGTGGGAGTATCCCGCCCTCAAATAGGTTTGAAGTACATATCACCTAAACCGCTAAAGCTATAGTAACCAAATGCACGCAAGGCAGATATTTAGCATCCCTACCAACAGTGTGGCATCGGACCGCCCACTCCTCATATTTCGATTTTGTTACAAAATACTAAAAGTGCGATAAATCTATAAATAAATGCGTCAGAGACATAAAATTTGATGTGATAGGAGACGGATTTATAGGTGCCGCTGTCAAAATTGGATGATATTCGTGACACCGCCTACATTTATGTGAAAACCCATGTCTCGCGACCTACCCAAACGATATCACACTGGTGCCAAATCGGACTACAACCGCACCTACTTCCCATGCAACACAACTTTAAATTCCATTTTATTCTATCAATTTCCAGTATGCAAATGAAGAAGCGATGAATATAACGGGATGAAACTTTGGACGCATAGTGCCTTTAAAGTGTGCCATCTTGTGACAAAAAATTGTTTAAATCGAACCAAAACTATTCAAGTCCCTAAGTACCGAATATGTGGACCCCAGTTCCTATCAAAATTGGATTGAATCGGATTCATATACCTAAAAGTATAAGTGTTCGAACTCTCGGCTAACTTTACTCCCCAAATATCAGCCAATATGTCAATTTGCTTACAATGAATAAAATCGAGTGAAAATCTGCCTTAGCCCCTATATAACTAATATCGGGATTTTCAAACATCGGGTTGACTTTACTCTTTATATATTATTGATGGTATGTGAAACTCCGAGAGAATCTGTTTCTGTTGATAATATGTAGTAATGCCAAAAAAAGATAAAATTGGGTCAATACTACATCTATATCCCATATACCTAATAAAAGATTTTCCAACTTTCGGTTTTACTTATACTGAGTATATCTATCTATCTTAGCAAAGTTAACTGAACGTATAATATTGGATATATGTATTTTAGTTTAATGCCGAAAATGTGTGAAATTATATTATACTACATATAATAATTTCCGTTATACTAACAAACCTTATTATGTCAATGGTTAAGCAATATACATGAATGGAGTTGGTTTAGACCTTGGTCTTCTGTAGTATATTAAATTTAGCCTCTCCGGTTAAGTTTTTGATCGTAATTAATTCACGATTTCGTCGAATAATGAATGTAGAATTCTTTCGCAACATTTTCAAATATGAATTTTTACACCTGAAGGTATTTCCCCTGCTTTGCTTATTGAAAGTTTCAAGTGTAGAAAATTCTCGGTTACACCCGAACTTAGCCCTTCCATTCTTTTTTATTATTGATTTCTGGTACAATTTGTGACCATCGACAGCGTTTAGAAAAATAATGGCATTAAAATTGCCTTATAAAAATTGTAGTCTGCGCTACTACCCTATCCATGTGATTGGCAATTAAATCAATGACAAAATTGAATTGGAATACTAATATAAGTATAACTTTCTTTCGCAGTGTTTTTCCAGGAGGCATTATATGTCATTTGAATATAACACGTGAATCATGCCACTAAAAGCTATTTCATTTTATTGTGAATGATTACGGTGACATTACAAAAATCATCAGTTTTTGATGAACTCCTCTTGATTTGACTTGTGCTTTTTATATACATATGTATGTATATACAAGTTGGATGAAAAATTTCTGTGCTCATAACGAAAAAATACTGGTACGAAATATATTTTTTTATTCAATATAATCTCTCTTAACTTCAACACACTTATTGCAATGATCTTCCAATAATTTTATACCATCCTTATAATGGCTTTCCGGAAGCTCTGCAAAATACCCGTCTACGGCTGTAATAGCTTCTTCATTCGACGAAAAAGGCTTTCCACGTAGGAATTGTTTCAGGTTTCTGAAGAGCTAGTAGTCGATGGGAGCCAAATCTGGTGAATACCGTGGATGCTCAAGCAATTCGTACTTTAATTCGTTGAATTTTGTCATTGTTAAAACACCTTTGTGAGCAGCTGCATTGTCTTGATGAGAAATGATTTGTGTGTGAGTGTTTCCCCACGACTTTTTTCATCCAGCTGATCCAAAAGGCTGCTATAATATTCAGAGTTGATTGTTTCACCTTTCTGCAGATAATCAATCAACAAAATTTCTTTTGTATCCCAAAAAACTGATGCAATAACCTTCTTTGCTGATCGTTGTGACTTCACTTGCTTTGGAGCTGATCAACCAGCTTCAGTTCACTGTAAACGTTCATGTTTCAATTGAGGATCATGATGGTAGATCCAAGCCTCATCCATCTTATACGACGCAAGAAATCGGTTTTATTATGCTTAAAACGCTCCAAATTATGCTGAGAAATTTGTTTTCGTCCCAGTTTTTGTTGAATTGTTAACGTATGCGGCACTAACTTCCCAACCAAATTTTCATATGTAATTCTCCATTTAAAATATGAATTCCTCGTTCGTCTGAGGTGCCTATGGCATTGCAATTTCACGCTGAGTGAAACTTGGATCTACACTAACAATATTATGAACTTGCTCAATGATTTCTGGTGTGGTTGCGGTTTTTGGTCTTCCTTCACGTGGATCGTCTTCAAGGCTAGTATGTAACTGAGAAAAAAAAATTTGGAGAAATTTTTGAAAATAGTAGTGCTATTTTTTGGTGAAACCAACCAACCTGTAAAACGTTGCGTGTGATGAATGTGTGTATTTTTAATTAAACGAAATTGGTATTACCTAAAATAGTATATCTAATGTCAAGCGGGCTAATGAAAATAACAAAGTAGCTTGACTAAACTTTCTTAAGATATTTCATATGATGATCGTTAAAGTCAGTTGATAAATTTAAAATTTACTATTTGGTTTATCAGTTTTAGGAAAATTTGTGAATTAATAAAGACCATTTTTGGTAGTGATATACGTTATGTCCATGGAAACAATGTTACCGATATACATATAAAGTACAAAATTAAGGATAGAAATGATACAAATCACCAAATCATGCTGTGAAAACTAGTCGAAATAATTTGACCCAATTATATAATATAATATTAAGATTTCTCAGTAATTGACTAATAAATATGGTGTGAACTCGGATGGATGGATAAATTTTTTACATATATTTAGTATGTAGGATCTTAGGAAATGTATAGGTTGATTGCAACAATTAATCAAGAGTTGCCATATATCCAGACAGTCCGACAGTTTTCCAAAACTATCCAAGTTCATATTTTTATGGCTGTTGACATCAGAATTCGCCGTGTACATTTCTTGTTTAACCTTAATAAATACAATATACAATAGTTATACTCAAAAGTTAATACTTACTCCTTTTTATTTTCTGAAGTAATCTTTTTAACCTAATGTACTATATGCATGTGCGAAAATTATTCTGAAAATAACTATTATAACAGCCGATATAAGATAGTAATAACTGCAATATAATAAGAACCTGAATATATTTTCATAAGCACCAAAGAAAAAAGTCATCTATTTAATGAAAATACGAACTGTTATGTAAAAATTTACTTAAACGGAGTTTAAAAAATGAATTTCGAAAAAAAATTTTGACTTCAGCTATTGGGGTCGAAACACTTTCTACACCATCGGACATTGAAAAGCAACATAATGTAACATAGATACCATTCGAACTTGTTGTGCAGAACATGTGAATGTTTTTTTTTTCTCAAGTGAGTAACATTATCTACAAATGTACAATTTATGTATATATGTATGTACTATGCACATAAGTGTATAACAACAATATGCCTACTTGAAAATCAAGTAAATATCGAATGATTAGCTATTAACGACTGCGGTTGTTATTGTTCTGCACTTTGTAACCTAAGTATATGATCAACTATTCAAAGTACAATTCCCACATAATTAAGTAATTTTCTACATTATAAAAAGTACCTATGTATATAGGTTCATATATATGAATATAATTGCTTGTACTAATTTTCATTGGTTACAGTATGTGCATATAATCGACGCAACAACTTTGCTAGTTTTTGTTTAGCCGAGCTTCCCCTGTTATTTGAGATGTTTGACATATTGTTGTCTGATAAATGTAGGTAAGGTACTATAATGGTCATATCAATGAAAATGGATTTTGACATTGTCTTCTTAGGGGTCACCGGGATTTGCATCTCTTATGATTTGAACCCACGCCATACCGAGTGATAGTTACAATCTCAGCATTGTTCTGATACGACCCACTCTTATACATATGTATGTAGTTAGATAAATATGGAATTCTGTTTGTATAAATGAATACTTCCGAATAAAGCAAAATCGTATGAGACATGGTCGCGACGGTGAGAATTTCTTATAAAACAAATTTTCTCTTACTTCCTTTACACTAAACAACGGCTTCAGCGATAAGCGTTGTATGTTGTTGTAGGTGAGTCGCTAGCGAAAACTACTACAATCCTAATTCAAAACGCTCAGTATTGTTTGAACATTCGATGGCTAATGGTGCTAGTCTGGGGGACTACCGTCAATACGAGTTGTTAATATTAAGATTCTGTTTAATCGCTTGAAATTTTTAAAACGGACTAGATTAGCGTTAGTAAGTGAAAAAGTCAATCGTTGAAACTAGTGTTATTCATTATTTTTTATCACAAACACCGACAAGTATACATATACAAGCAGGTATGTGGATAAAGTGTGTATATGTTAACATTTTGTGTATTTGGTTTATGATAAAAAATCGATTAAGTTTTTTCATGTAAGATAACAATCACCGAATTTAATTATATAATAATAAATGACAAGTTATGACATAGGTACATATATTTATATAGGACTTAACTTATTTTTAATATATTTGTAGTAATTTAAAAAGTATTTAAAGATATGGTTTCATTACAATTTAATTGTTTATTTCTTGACATGAAAATTTGTATACATGGGATTGTTTTTTTTTTAATATAAGCTGCAAATAGTAAAATGCTTGGCAAAAAAATATCGAAGCATTAAAAACTCTTGCAACTTGAAAGAATAAAAGAGTATGTGAATTATTTCTAAATGTATGTGCTCATGGATGTCGTTATTAGCACTACTCATTTGAATAACAATCAAAAATGTACCAAAAAAATATCACTCAAATTAAAATACCTCCCTCCCTTATTGACTTATATTGGATATATGGGGACTAGGAGTAAGTATAAACCTATTTCATGCAAATGTGGAACCAACCATACTAGAGATTATGGTAGATCTGTCAATGTTTTGTTAGTTAATCTGTTTGACAAGGAACTCTAAGCAGCTTGGTCGCTGCGTTTAGCTTCATTTTAACATGTTGAGGTTGTGTTACACCTTAGACAGCTCAAGAACGACACTCACGGGGATTGCAATAATTTCACTCTCTCACTTATTTTGGTTCGCGTTTAATGCTCATAAATAAAACGTAAATATATCAAATTAATATGTGTTGTATCTTTGACGATGTTACAAATATGCTCGTGATTATGTTTGTAATTACATTGAGAGTCCGTTAGTTTTAAAAGTCTTTTAGGTCTTTGGTTTATGACGTAGCATTTCGTAATCACTGAATTACATCACTTATTATAGCTATTACATACATAAACTGTATATATTAGTTGTAGGACTCTATATTGCCTTGTTGTTGTGACTTCTACTTCCGGAATTCGTGTTGGTTATCGGAAAAACCCTGGTATTCTTTCTCTGAGTCTATATTGCCTTGTTGTTGTGACTTCTACTTCCGGAATACGTGTTGGCAATCGGAAAAACCCTGGTATTATTTCTCTAAATAAAACTCTAATCGTACACAAATTAGCTGCTCTAGTATCTTGCCAATCATATCCTGCATGCAAAGCGGTCAGTATGAGAAAGGCTCGGCGACTGGTTTATTTGGTTTTTGAAATGAGAACAGGGGCTGCTTTGTCCAGGTTTCCGGGAAGACGCCTTTTTGGAGACACTGCTTAAACAATTCAGTAAATGACCTCGCATTGTTATTAATGGCAATCTTTGAGGCCTTATTTGGAATACCATCGAGACCATTGGGCATTATCATGATATACAGTGGACGCCAAAAGTCTACGTTAGACCCATATTTTTGATTTCTTGCTGAATGTAAAAATTATAAGAAAAAGTAATGATGCCGTTTTGTTTTAATCACGTTTTTATTAGAAAAGTAGACTAAAACAAAAAACTAGAATAAACCATTGACGAAGGTCTGATTACGACTAAAATTATAATATAAAAATCATCAATAAGGCAATTTAACTTTAAAAATAGTATTTTGTTTGCCCACCATGAGCAACATGCGCTTGTAAACGTCTAGACATTGAAAAAGCTAAATTTTCAGGCTCAACGTGTGTTATTTGTTGCCACGGTTGCCACTGCCGGTATCAGACCACTATAATACAATATATAGCTACCATACAATGTGATAGATCGGAACCAAGTGCATGAATGGAAAACTTTTTCTTTTGACGAGATATATTCATGAAATTTGGCACAAATTATTATCTAAGAAAATAATGCAATATGCGAAGAAATGGTTCAGATCGGATCACTATAGCATGTAGTTACCATACAAACTGAACGATCGGAATCAAGTGCTTGCATGGAAAACTTTGGAACTTGGCAACTTCTGAAGAAATTGTTCAGATCGGATCACTATAGCATACACCATACAAACTGTATGATCAAAATCTAGTAATTGTTAGAAATCTTAGGAATCAAGGGTATTATAGATCCGGTGCAACCAAAGATAACGTTTTTTCTATTTTTTTCATTCAATAAGACATCAAAAATTTTCTCGCCCACTGTATGTACGTATATATGCACATTGCATTCGTAAACATGAGTACCTTCAATCTAAAATGCATTTTAGGCAACCTCAATCCTTAGACTTTTCAATCTGCTTCCCAAATTTTTTTAGAAATTAGAATATTAAATTAACTAATACATATGTAAGTTCTCGATCATACGTTATTAACTTTTGTCGAATATAAGCAATGTAATTTGTCGCACCGCCTAGATTTAGGCGAAAACCCACATCTCGGGGTCTGCTCTAAAGATTTCAAAAAAATTAAGGTTGTAGTTTAGATAGGGTATCGTTATTTTGACATTCCTATGTTGCAGCGCAAAAATGGACGAAATGGAACTACAACCACATCTACATCTCATATAACATAGTTTTAAATTTAATCTGATTCTTTCTCTTTCCAGTAAACAAATTAAGCACCAAAAAATGTATCGGGATAAAATTTTGCACAAATACTGCCTATGAAGTGTGTTAGCTTATGACACAAAATTATCCAAATCAGATTAAAACTGTTCCAGACCCAAGTTCCTATTGCGAACTTTTTATCGAAAATATTAGTAAATCTGTGAGATATATTATAGAAACTCAGAGAGAATTCGTAATTCTCTTAGTCCACATATACCTAATAGACAAATTTTTGAACTTTCGGCTGCCCTATACCGGCCAATATGTAGGTTTCGTAATGACATTGAAAGACCGTGTTGCACCGCTGCAACATATAAATCAAGCACCAATTAAAATATCGAAATCACACTTTGAATAAATACAGAGGATTTTTTCCTGATAATAGCGTGCCCTTTTGTCAGAAATGGATAAAATCAGGTCAGATATACCAAATATAAGGATTTTTGAACTTTATTTATACTTATACTATATATATCAGTCAATATGTAAGATATTTTAGCAAAATTATGTGAAAGTATAATATTGGATATGCTGTAGCTTGGAGGCGAAAGTGGGTGAAAGAAATCCACGAATTACCAAGATCCTATATACTACACATAAGTTCAGTTAATTATTGATTAAAATGAACTCAGACCTTCCCCTAGCCATAATATAGTGAATTTTGACTTTCCGGTTGACCTTATACCGTTAAAATTTATGTTGGTGTATGTTTGAATGAATTTAAGTCAATATACATAAATAAAATCATTTTAGACCTTGGCCTAAAGTTCACATTTCTAATATACTGGTTTACCTCCCTCTGATTGAATTTTTCTTATATACATACCTAATATATGAAATTCTCTCCCTTTGGCTGAGTTTATTAAATATAATATCTTGGGTGTCAAGCATGTGAGGTTATGAGAACAGTGTAATGTAATATGATGCCAAACATGATTGTAATGCATACACGATTTAATCGAAAAAAAAATATTGAATTTACTTGCAAAATTTGTATACCCTCACAACATGTTGCACACAGTGTATAGTTTTGTTTAATAAAGTTTTGCACCTGAAAGTATTTCTCCGTATTTCGTTCTTGCCATTTGTGAGAGTTTAAAATGTTCGGTTACACCCGACTTACCTTCTATAGTTGTTTTATTATGTTGAGATGCATTCCCCTGATGTACAATAAAATTTTCAGCTGTATTCATTGCTTGGATTTTATATAGTAGTATATTACGATGCTTTCATATTTATTTCTTTTAACCGCAAATGATTAAGTTAGAATATCATGTTCAGTACATTTTGGTGGATTAGGGAATTCCCGTAATAAGACTTTTTTTGAAAATACTAATAGCGGGTATTCTAAATATTGTTCTATCACTTTCAAAATATGAGACCACAATACCAACATACAAATAAAATTTGCAACACGCTCTTAGTGTCGCGTAACCAAACCGCACAAACATTTGCGAAAATTTTATGTAAAGGAAACTCGATTCGAGTTGCTGAACTCTTTTTGCTCGTGCGAACGCCAACTAACGATAGCCCAGCCTTTAATTCGCCCGACATGTCACCATGGGACTTTTTCCTATTTCTAAAAATAAATTGCACCTTAAAGGGCTGTGATTTTACAAGATAGATCGCTGAGAAAGCTAGAGGCTAATCCAAAATCGAGTTTGAGAAGTGTTTCGACAATTGGATGAAACGACAACAATAATGTAGACAAATAAATAAATATTCCGTTATTTTTTAAACACACCTCCTATAATCAAATAATATGCACATTGATAAGTAAGATTTCATTTCCTTTAGATAAAATTATTAATAACACCTAATTCCTTGAGTTACGATTTATATTCTTTTTTGAATGTCTTGTCCATAATATCTCTGTGTTCTTTACACACAATTTCTGCATTGTTGTTTTCAGTACAGATTTAAATTATATCTACTTTAATCGAGGAACTGGTTGTAAACCGTTTCTTTTCATTTGCGTTTTGATTATTATTTTTTCTTTTCATAACATTTTTCATCGAGACTAGTTATGAACATTATTTTATATTTTGTAAATAAGATGTTTATTTGCCAAAACGAAATATATAATTATTTGTATCGTAAGATTATCTGAATATTTACAAAATATTATTCACCATATGTCAATGTTGGCCTTGATGTCAAAGGACAATATTTCAAAACAAAACTATTATCACTTAAATTTTAGCAATATACTTGTACGATGGGTTGCGTATGCGAGATAATTGGTCTTGCGTGTCTTTTGGGCCTCATCTTAAGTTTCTCCTCCAAGGCCCCATACCAGCTTAAAATGGCAACTTTCATTATTGGATCTGGAGCTATCGTACTTATTTGCATACCCCTTATGATATTAAGGCCGCGGGACTATCGGAACGCATTGTAAGTGCAAACACAGTATATTTTTATATATTATATTATTATTTAATTCTGATCAAGATATGTTTTTATTTAAAAAAAAATTCTAAATAATGTGCTTCACTAAATAGTATACCTGCATGGGGCTGTCGACAGCTTTGCAAAGCGCTGGGCGTTACAATGGAAGTACAAGGTTTTGAAAATATTCGGGCGGAACACGGCGCTGTAGTGCTTATCAATCATCAAAGTTTTCTTGACTTGTGCGGTATGATGACTCCTCTTTTATATGTATATACATTTTTGTGATGTATGTACATATGGGTTTCTATTATTACAGGATTAGCATATTTATGGCCAGTAATTGGGCGTGCAACGGTAGTGTCGAAAAAAGAAGTTCTGTTCTTTCCTTTCTTTGGGTTCGGTGCTTGGCTTTGGGGGACTCTATTCATTAATCGCTCTAGCAAGAAAGATTCCATCAGTACATTGCAGAAGGAGTCCAAGGCTATCCAAGAACGGAATTGTAAACTTTTGTTTTTCCCGGAGGGCACGCGCAACACTAAAGAAACATTGCTGCCATTCAAAAAAGGTCCTTTCCATATTGCTCTTCAAAGCCAATGTCCTATCCAACCGGTGGTTATATCTAAATATTATTTTCTAAATCGTGAGAAGAAATCGTTCCGTCCTGGACATGCCATCATTAACATCCTACCTGAAATTCATACAGCTGGATTTGGTGTAGAGGATATGGATAAAATTATTGAATCCACCAGGAATGCCATGGAGATTGAGTATAAAAATGTATGTCAAGAAATACGAAGACGTGGACATTAGTTATTTTAAAAAGTATATACTTATATACATATATATGTATAAACTTTGATTGTATATACATATACCATATATATAGGACTATATATGTATCTACTTATATTAATATATTTTACAACTTTATATATAATTATGTATTTAAATATACTGCCAAAGGTTCTACATACAATGGTAAAGGAGTCTAAGACCTCTGGTAAATGCAAGAATGAAGACTTTTATAACTATTGTGCTACAATAATATTAAACAAACTTATAGTTTTTTATAAAAAGAATAAAGCGGAAATGTTTTAGAATTATCTTGCATATATCTACAAAAATAAATATAGAAATAATAAGACGTACCTAAACATACGGATACATAAAATAATGAAATTCAATGAATAAATTGTTTCCTTTTATTTCCCTTTATTTTAAAATATTGGTTTCATAGTTTGTATTCAATTACAACTCAACTACATTTTCTGGACTAAAATTGAAAATTACCAAATACCATCCCTAGTATGTACATACTTCATATAAATGATCAGTGTGAAGAACTGTGTCGATTTAGCCATGTCAGTCTGTCTTTATATACCCAAACTAGTTCCTCCGATTTTTAGATATCCGATTTGAAATTTTGCACACGTCCTTTCCTCTCCAAGATTCATTCATTCATTCATTTACCGGAACCGCCGATATCAAACGCCTATAGCAAATAGCTGCCATACAGGTTCTTGTATGGACAAATTTTTTATTTGGCGAGATATCTTTACGATAGTCTAAGAGCCAGTAGACGGCAGAGTGTATGTATGTAGTTTACCAAAGGTGATATTTTGCTCAAAGATTCTCCTATACCTAACCTACATAAGATCGGTAGCCACTAAGCGCAGCGAAAGTAGCTATAACGTCACTAAGGTAATATAGGCACGTAAATTAGAAGAGTTTTGAAAGTATTTCAACAAAGCTATATGATCAAACCTATTTAAGAGTACAATGAATGCGACGCCCAAAAGAATCGTAGACCATGTAATTTATTACCACGTTTTGAAAATTAGGAAAATAAAAATAAAAAAGTATTTTAACAAATCTGATTTTTATATATAATATTTTTAATACTTTTATTAGCTTATTTTTTAAACGGCAGTCGTTTTGTCCGGTTGCTACAGTCGTCTGCCTTACGGTGTAAGTATATGTTACTACTGCAATTTATAGATTTAATATACATATTATGTACTACATAACTCCAATGCCATTTAAGCTAAATCAACCAAACTTGCTCAGAATAAATATGTTTTATATTCTCTTTGAAATTGTAAAAATGGTTGAGATTGGATTAGAACCTTCCCACTCCCCATTTAACGGTTATATTGAAACCTACTATAAGTGCAATAACTCAATAAATGAAAGTGTAAAACAGACTAAATTTTGAACTCAAAATGATATACATATAAAAGCTTTATAGGAGGCGGTATCAAAATTGAACAATGGGCGTGGCACTGTCCATATTTAAGTGAAAACCCACATCTCGGGACCAGCTCAATCAATTGCAACCAAATTCAGTGCATATCCATATGTTACAGTGTGTGAGTTGGGGAAATCGCGTTGAACGAGTTTTAAAATAAATTATTAGAAGTTATTTTATAGAGAATTGACGCGGATGACATCCAAAACTAGACTGATTTATTTTATTCAATTAACTTAAAGTGAAACTTATTCTAATTACAATTTGCTTATTAATTATTTATATATTTATAAAATTGTTTAATAATCATTTTGTTATTAATTTCGATAATTCTTAGAAAGTTTACTGTGTTCTTAATTTTCATTTAGTTTATTTGTTTAACAATTAAGCAATAGGCCATAAATGGTTTCGTGTTGCAATTTGTATCAACAGTTCATCAAATTCAATTGCACTGTCATGTGTTTTTACATAACTAATTTTATATGTAACTAATCCCCCTTTTAGAATTCTCCTAATTCTTCTATTTCATTTTATTTTTAAATATTTATGTTTTCTGATAATGACAGCAGCTATTAATAAAATTGTATTTACTTATGTATTTTCGATTTAAATTTTGTTTTTTGATTGGACTTATTTTCTTCTATTAATTGATAGAATGCGATTTTGTGCTTGAAATTTTGAATGTTTTCGTATTTTATATTAATAATATTTTCTTTTATATTTTCAATTAAGTTGGAGAAGTAATATTCATTGATTTTAATGGAACAATTATTATATCTTATTGAATAATTTTCATTTAAAGTTGGTTGCTCTTCTTTACATGTATGATTAATATATAGATTTCATGTCTATTGGTATTATTTCCATTTATTTGTTTTTTGTAAGTTGGCAATTTATTTTTATTACACAATGTGTACTAAGTTTTAGCTCTCGTAAATGTTTATTACTTGCGAATTTATATTTTTTATTTTCGTAGCTAAAAATGTCCTCTATTTTTGACTCTATTTCTCTATATTTAATAGGTGTTGGAATTACAGTTCTTATTTTTATATTTTGAACTGATATTAAGGAGTAAAAGAAAAAAGATGATCCTCCAAAGCCTCCGTCAGTTCTCCAAGTTTTAAAATGCATGCAAAAAAAACTAACTTTAAATATATTTGTATTCAGATAGCAAGTTTTTGGATGAATTATAGACTATGGAATAGCATGTTATTTCACGTAGATTGAACAATATACAAAAAAAAGTACAGCCTTTTCAAATTAACATTTAAAAAATGCAAGCAACGACCTCTAAATATGTGAACGCAAATGCTGCATATATACAATAATATGACTTTTTTTGTTCCTCAAGTTTATTTTTATTTTATAACAATGATTTATAAATATATAAGTACATTGTGTTGTTTTTCTTCTTTCGTTTCGGGTTAAAGATAAAAATATTATTTAAATATCATTACAAAAAACTAAAAATTTACTTAAAGTGCACATATCAATTATTTTTTAAATTGATTAGGTTCCCCAATCAAGCGGGTTTCATCTAATTAAATAATTTTTTTAATTAATCGAGTTAAATGATTCCCAGCTTAATTGAACCCAAAATTGTGCAATTTTTGAAGTGCAATTATTCAGGGGAAACTGCATAATTAATTATTTCATCAATTGTTAATTTATTAAGATGTATTCTTCCATATTTTGTTGACACAATTTTGTCTTGTTAGTGCTCTATTTAGATTTGCAACAATTGTATTTTCGACAATTGTTCTAAATAAGAGTTTTGATAAAATTTTTATGATGATCTTTTTATGATTTCTTTAAATTGATCAATTGCAGTGCAAAAAAAAGTATTAATTTGAATTTGCTGGTTGAATGAATCGTTTGTTTGTAAAAGATGTCCCTGTATGCCATGACGGTCTTCTTCGTCCACTGTGCCAAAAAGCTATTTTGACATACTACTTATTGCATTGATTAATTCACGCTTTTGTCTGCTACTAATTGGAATTAGTGTTAACAACTTATTTCTAGCCTCTAACAATTCTAGTTGAAATATCCTTATGTATTATATTTATTAAATTAATATTATCCGTCATTTCATTTATAATTTTTTCAATTTGTTTGATGTCTATTATATGCACAATTACAAGTATATCCGTTTCTCGAACTATTTCTTGGTTCCTTATTTGTATGTCAATATCCCCAACAGTGTTATCAATATTTGTGAATTTTATGTTATTTGAATGTGTCAAGTTTGCCTTTTTAAATTTGAGTTGTTCCTTGTGCCTGACCGCTCTATAGTTCTTAATAAAACCTTTCTTTCATTTCCTCGATTTTTTTCTCTTTTTTCATTTAATTTATCTAATAAACTTTTCTCCTATAGCGTTTGATATTAACTAAATCTACACTACCATTTTGCACATGTAATGGTGTACTCTTAATTGTAGAGTGATATCTGTTATAATTTCTATGTTTCATTGGCAAATCTTTATTTAATTTATTTATCATACATATATGTATATAGTTGTATTGTGGAGTCTTTCGATGTCCGCATTGACTGTATATATATTTGGTTTGGTTAAGTGTAGTACTAGATTTTCATTGTTTAAAAATTCCTTTATTCTTATTGCCTTGAATTCGTTATCTGCAATTTGTTTTAGTTTTCCTATCTTTGAAAAGTGCTCTTCCAGTTGTTCTATTATGGTAATATGGTTTCCTTTTTTAATGAAAACGCTCCAAATTTTTAAAACTTATCTATTGTAGTTAGAAAGTGAAATCCTCTTATTTCATAAGTGAGGTGTGAGGTTCTTTGCTGGTAGTGCTTCTTTATCTGAAAATTTAGGTCTTATTGGATTCTTATCATATTTTACTTCCTTGGAAAAATCACATTGTTTTAAAACTAACTGGATTAATTCTTTAAGTTTTGGGTAATAGATTTGGTTTTTCGTTTTATCTATACCTGAATGTATGCTTTCCTTTATGTGGTAAAATGATATTTGCTCAACCGCTTCCATTTCAGTTTCAATATCTTGAGCTCTTGCTGTGCATTTAAAGAACTTAATAATTGTGTCATTATAAAACATGCAATAAGTTTTTGTTGTATTATATTATATTTGTGATCTGATAAGTCCGAAAAAATACCTGTTATTCCTTTTCTTATATATCTCCTGAATATACAAGGTGCAATTCAAAAGTTTCAGGACTTTTTAAACAACGTGGCTTCTAGTGGAACCATCTGTCTGAAATTGTTATCCCTCAATTGTGTATTCTTCAGTGTTGTCGTATAGAATTTATGTAACAGCTGACTTGTATAACAGCTGAGATATCGCGCTATATGTGACATTACATTTGTAGTGTCGGTCGGAAAATGAGCATCGAGCAAAGAGCCAACATTAAGTTTTGTTTTAAACTTGGTAAAACTTTTACCATAACTCACCAAATGATGAAACAAGTTTATGGCGATGATTGTCTATGCCGTAGCCGTATTCACGAGTGGTTTAAACGTTGTCAAGAGGGACGGGAGGACAAAAGAAGTTGTGAACGAAAAAAACACGGAAATTGTGCGTGAATTCATTAAAAAAGAGCCGAAATCATCGCTTAAATATATGGAATCGGAATTATCAATATCCGCAGCGTCGATTTATCGTATTTTGACAGAAAATTTTGCCGATTTGTCCGGCACACTTTGAAACAACCCGAAAAAGACCTCAGAATTGAACATTCAATTTGACCAAAAATCGCATTCATATCATCAACCATTCACCCTATTCGCCTGATATGGCACCCTGCGATTTTTATTTGTTCGGAAAACTACATTTGGCCATGAAAGGAAACCGCTATGCTGACGTTGATGCCATCCAAAAGGCGACGACCGCCATCCTCAACGCTATACCGACAAATGACCTAAAAAAGTCATTCAATAACCTTCTTGAACGTGCAAAACGTTATATTCAGGCGGAAGGAGACTATTTTGAAGGCGACCAATAAATTTTTCAAAAAAAAAGCAAATAATATTCATTTTTTAATAAATGTCCTGAAACTTTTGAATTGCACGTTGTATCTTCCATATTATCAAAATGATGTTCAGCAATGAATATTATACGTTTTCCATGTAATGTCTTAAATTCTTCTGTCTTGTTATTGATTATTATTATTTAGCTATTTGTTAATGATTTTATCTTTTATAAAATATGGTCATTTAAGATTTCTTCAACGGAATGTATGGTAAGCATACTTACATCATCTTCCATATTATTTGCCTTATTCATCTCTAGACTTAGGTGACCATACTTTTTCCGGCGAAATCCGGGACGGTTTTTCTTTTTTTTGGTCATCGATCTTTACCATATTATAATTCTCTGAAAATCACGACATATGAAAGGTGAGAGAGCAACACAAAGAAACTTTGTGAAATGTCGAAATGAAAGTGTGTTTTCAACGATAATTTGCAGAAAAAAAATGTTTTTTTTGAGAGTCACTGATGACGACTTCAACGTTCGTTGCGACAAATGTAATGCAACATTTTTGGTGGCTGCTGGTGAAGGCAATGATACTGAAAATCATTTGAAGACAAAGAAGCACAAAGTGGCAGCAAATGCTTCTCTTCAAACTTCAATCATATCAGATTTTCTCATCGAAGAGAGAACAGATTTGAATCTATCGACGATGAAAGGCGTGTAGGCGTACCACACAATTGATGAGAATCACAGTTTCAGGTTTGTTATTCAAAAAATCATTTGAAAAAAAGCAATTATCATCCGATTCAAATTTTTTCAAACTTTTATTTAGATCAAACGACTGCGCCCACACAATATTTCGAACCTGTTTCCAAACGAAAAAATTTTCGTGTTCAAGAACAAAAAGTGAAGCGATAATAACTAATGTTTTTGCACCATACGCATTGGAATGCTTCCAGTCTGATTTATAGAAAGCCCGATTCATATGTTTGTCGACCGACGCTTCCAATAGCAAAGCAATCAAGTTGTTTTATGTTGTCATTCGTTATTTTCTTCCATTATCTGGAGTGAATGTTAAAATAATTATACTTTCACAAGAAAAAGGTCGGATACTATTATATTTTTTATTGATTAAAAGGGGAAAATTTTGATATAACTGCTAAATTGATCGTCAATTAATTTTGGTCGCGTTAATCGGAAAGGTGAAAACATTTCGTTTTTGCAAAATTAAAGAAATTAAAATCGAACATAGTTGGTGTAAGTTGTGCAGCCATATCGTGCATAATGCGATTCGTAGCGCATGTAATGCACTGATGTTAGAATAAAGAGCATTGTTGTTCAGATCTACACACATTTTTACATCCACACAACTCGCACAATAAAGTCAATCTGCGAGATTTCTAAAGACGAATACGATCATCTGGTTGGTTACTGCAAAATTCAATTCATTGGCTTGCTAGAGAAGCCAATCATTTGAATGTTCCAACCTCTGAAAACGTATTTTGACGACCTTCCTTCACCCCTCAAAAAAGCCAGCTGTATCCGCCATTTTTTCAGTAATCCACTATCGAAGCTCTGGTTCATTTTTGTTCATGAACAGGTGTAAATATGTTTTTCTTAACTGAAATTTTTCCAAAATCGAGAAATTATTTAATTATTATCTCATTAATTTTAGGCCATGATTTTCGAAGAAACAATAAAGAAATTTCAAAGCGATGATATTTCAGCAGTTACAATTTACAAACTCTTGCAAAATTTAATGAACAATTTCAAAACTAATCAGCACAATTACTTTTCATTGCAAGTAAAAGCGGAAATGGAGAACTTGAAGAAAGAAAATTATGAATTGAAGCAATTTGTGGTAGAGTCGAAACACTTCCAAAGTAAATATTTCATTTTAAACTTTAATTTTCGTTTTATTATTTGTAATTGTCTTCAATACGTCAATAAGATGATTACTACGAATATCTTGAGGCATGGACTCAACAGTTTGCTTATGTAACACTATTTGATTGGGTGCTACTCACTGATAAACTCGACTTGGAAAAAATTAAGAAATATATATTTTGAAGGCACATCACAGAAAATAATATTTTGAAAGCATCAGGCACTTCTTCACATAAGCTGTTCGAAGATTTCACTTATATTTCTCAGTATATGGGAGACAAACGAATTGATGAATGGAGCAAAGAGCAGATATCCGTTGACAAACGTTGGGTTCAATGTTTTACTTTTCTGTGGAAGCAAAACATACTATTCGTTGAGCTTTTAGAGATCGTTGAATATGCTCTGACACTACTAGAAACATCGACACCAGTGGAACGCATATTCTCTGCCATTAATATTATATAATGTGGACATACGAAAAAACTCGACTACTCGCCGACCTTCTTCGAAAAATCAATCAACAAGAGAAATACTTAAGACCGAAGACGTCTTCAACAACTCCGGAAACACCGTCCACTTCATTAACTGATATACAAACTATCGAACCAGACAGTGATTGAATCTTTTTATCATTTTTATACCCTCGCAACCTGTTGCTACAGAGTATAATAGTTTTGTTCACCTAACGGTTGTTTGTATCACCTAAAACTAATCGAGTTAGATATAGGGTTATGTATATATAAATGATCAGGATGAAGAGACGATCCGAAATCCGGATGACTGTCTGTCCGTCCGTCCGTCCGTCCGTCCGTGCAAGCTCTAACTTGAAAACAAATAAATTGTCATAACTAAGCAATACGATACAAGTCTGTTATTTGGTACACAGGATCACATTAGGGAGGGGCATCTGCAGTTAAATTTTTTTTTTAAGTGGGCGTGGTCCCGCCTCTAATAGGTTTAATGTGCATATCTCCTTAACCGCTAATGCTATAATAACAAAATTCACTGGAAGCAAATGTTTTTAGCACTTCTATTGACGGTGTGAAAATAGTTGAAATCGGGTAAAAGCGCGATAAATCAAGCACTAAACACGCCAGAGACATTAAGTTTTATCTCTGGGATGGTATGAGATGACTTTATAGGAACCGTGTTCAAAATTAGACAGTGGGCGTGGCACAGCCCACTTTTAGATGAAAACCCATATCTTGAGATCTGCTTAACCGATCCGATAACCAAATTCGGTGCATAACGTTCTTTTCATATTTCTATGTCATAGTGCAAAAATGGGCGAAATCGGACTACAACCACGCCTACTTCCCATATAACACCATTTTAAAGTTCATCTGATCCTTTCACTTTCCACTATGCAAATCAGGCAACAATGACTGTATCGGGATAAAACTTTGCTTGAATAATGCGATTAAAGTATGCTACCTTGTGGCCAAAAATTGTCTAAATCGAATCAAAACTGTTTAAGCCCCTAAGTACTAAATATGTGTCAATCCACAAAGAAATCTCAAACGAGTATACTATTTGACTTTGCGAGAGTATAAAATGTTCGGTTACATTCGAATTTAGCCCTTCCTTGCTTGTTAATATTACTTTGCTTTCTCTTTTATCATTATTTTTGAATAAATTGTGTGCCTCTCTCCCCTACTATATGTCGCGATTTTCAGAGGATTATGATATGGAAAAAATCGATGACTAAAACAAACCGTCCCGGTTTTTGGCGGAAAAAATATGGTCACCTAGCTCTACTAACGTTTTCTTCTTGATTTTAATTATTGTTTGAACTTTGGCTCTCTTCCTCCATGATATTTACTTTTCCAAATCTACTTAAAAAATCCGCTACTTTGTTTTCTTTGCCTTGTAAATATTCAATATCGAGTAGATATTCTGCTAGTATTAGTAGCCGTCTCTGATGTCGTGGTGACATATCTTTTCCTTTATATTTCGAATATAAGTATTTTATTGGCTTCTGATCAGTTAAAAATTTAAGCCTTCTACCACAAACGTATAGCCTGAATGACCTAATTTACATTTTTGCAAAAAATTCCCTGTCTGTCGCCGAATAGTTTTTTCTATAGTTATTTAGGGTCCTTGAGGCATAAGACTCTTGGTGTTCTTCTTAAGATAAGTCCGTACTAATTGCATAATTAGATTCATCCGTTGTTCAAGTAAAATGTTTTTGAAAAACGGGCTAACGCAGTATGGGATGAGTAATTTTGAGGTTTTATATTTTTAACCGCTTCAATGAAAGCTGGATCCTTTAGATTAATTTTTATTCCTCTCTTTAAATACCTTGTGCCACTTTGAGATAGTTCTATATAAACTTTCAGTAGTGATAACTTGAAAATTTTTATATTGTCTTTATGTCCGTGGTATTTCTAAATATTAAATAGTT